TAATAGTATGGATAATTCTAATGCCCCATTCTGTTCTAAGACATCAAGATTTGCCAGTATGATAGAAAGTCACTGATGTTCTATAATAGAAGTACAAAAGTCTACACTTCTGTGAAATATGCAGAAATATTTCCCAATAATTTCAAACCTCAGAACACACTGATTGATGATAGTTCATGATGGGTAGCTCCAGAAACGAACAAAATGATAATAATGATTATAACCTTTCAGTGAAATAAAAAAAAAAAAGTATATTAACTTCACTGTTGTAGTGCCAGTACAACTATTTTATTTTATTTTATTTTATTTTTTTTATTTTAGTTTTGAAATAGGTTCTCCCTCTGTTGCCTAGGCTGGAGTGCAGTAGCATAATCATGGCTCGCTGCAGCCTCAAACTACTGGCCTCAAGCAATCCTCATGCCTCAGCCTCCCAAGTAGCTGAGACTACAAGCATGTGCTACTATACCCAGCTAATTTTTAAATTTTTCTTTCATAGAGATGGGGTCTCATGACATTGACAGGCTGGTTTCAAACTCCTGGTCTCAAGCCATCTTCCTGCCTCAGCTTCCCAAGTGGGATTATAGGACTGAGCCATTGCATCCAGCCAGTCCAAAATTAATAACAATACATAGAACATATAAAACCTAAGCTTAAGTATTTTGCAAACAAATCAGTCCTATCATTTGTCTTTAGTGAAAATGGGAGACTGAAGAGAGAAAAATTATGTTTCAAGAACTGTGGTCTACCTGTTATTAGATTCTAGTCTCAGTTGTTTTTGAGGGTTTTTTCCTGCAATTTAGACTAATCCTACTTATTCCCATGAACCAACCAGTGATCTCTGCTGCTGCTCAGAAGAAACAAAAGGGATGGGTAATATAAAAATCTTGATCAGTATTCTAATTCTGGGCATGTACTGGAATCAGCTAGGGACCCCGTATCAGCTTGGTTCTACAACTGCCTAGTTAATAGAAAGACTTCTTATTTAGTTTACTTGGGATAATTTTACTTATCTTTTTTTTTTTTTTTTTACTGTTGTAGAATATATTACTGTTGTACTCTTTGTGTAGGAATGCAGATAAGCTTACTGAATGTTTTCTTAAATTGAACACTTACTATTCTTCCAGATAGCACTTCTTGTTGGAACTCACAGTTATCAATGGCCCTCGCCAGACCAATGCTTTGTGACTGACCTCCTCTCTACCTTGAATACAAGAGGCCCTCATAGTTAGGCAGGAATATCATTGTCCCTATTCAGCCTGAAGAAGTTACAGAAGATGGATCTTCATTCCTCTACAACCCTTAGGATTAAAGATCTCCTTATAAAAGGGAGGGGCAGCCGGGTGCAGTAGCTCACGTCTGTAATCCCAGCACTTTGGGAGGCCGACATGGGCAGACTACCTGAGGTCAGGAGTTCGAGACCAGCCTGGCCAACATGGTGAAACCCCCACCTCTACTAAAAATACAAAAATTAGCTGGAAGTGGTGGCGGGCGCCTGTAGTCCCTGCTACTCAGGAGGCTGAGACAGGAGAACTGCTTGAAGCCGGGAGGTGGAGGTTGCAGTGAGCTGAGACTGCACCACTGCACTCCAGTCTGGACAACAGGAGCGAGACTCTGTCTCAAAAAAAAAAAAACAATACATAAACAAATTTTTAAAAATTAAAAAAATAAAACAGAAGGGGGAAATATGTCAGAGGCATTCAAACCTGAGTGACTCCATCTTGAACAGGGGCTGGGTAAAATAAGGCTTACCCCTACTGGGCTGCTGCATTCCCAGGAGGTTAGGCATTCTTACTTACACATGAAATAGGAGGTCAGCACAAGATACAGGTCACAAAGATCTTGCTGATAAAACAGGATGCAGTAAAGAAGCTGGCCAAAAGTCACCAAAACCAAAATGGTGATGAAAGTGACCTCTGGCTGTCCTCACTGCTCATTGTATGCTGATTATAATGCATTAGCATGCTAAAAGACACTCCCACCAGCACCATGACAGTTTACAAATCCCATGGCAATATCAGAAAGTTACCCTATATAGTCTAAAAAGGGGAGGGACCCTTAGTTCTGGGACTTGGCTACCCCTTTCCCAGAAAACTCATAAATAATCTACCCCTTGGTTCAGCATGCAATCAAGAAACAACCATAGGCCAGGCACTTTGGGAGGCCAAGGTGGGCGGATCACTTGAGTTCAAGAGTTCAAAACCAGCCTGGCAAGATGGTGAAACCCCGTCTCTACTAAAAATATAAATTCTAGCTGTGCATGATGGTGGTACCTGCCTGTAATCCCAGCTATTTGGGAGGCTGAGGCAGGAGGATCACTTGAGCCCGGGAGGCAAAGGCTGCAGTGAGCTGCCACTGCACTCCAGCCTGAGTGACAGCAAAACAATGTCTCAAAAAAAAAAAAAGAAAAGAAAAGAAAAAGAAAGAAAGAACCATGAAAGTAGCCAACCAGCAGCCCTTAGGTCTGCTTTGCCTATGGAGTAAGCCATTCTTTATTCCTTTACTTTCTTAATAAACTTGCTTTCAATTAAAAAAAAAAAAAAAAAGAATACCACAGTGGTAACTTTCATAGTATATGTCAGCTACAGGGGACAATCAGGAATTGCTGGAGCAAAATATCCTTATTAGAGTCTTGACTGCCTATGTAATTAATTCACTGCAGCACCAAACTGTCCAAGTTGTCATTATATTCTTCTCTATTCTTTTCTTCCAGGCAACCACAGTAAAAATATTCTTTAAAAAAATTGTAATGCCAGTTTTACTTAAGAATGTCCTTGATGACACAGGAAAGTCATTTCTTATTACACCTCAACCCCTGAGTATATGTCTTTTTAATTTTCTGGGTGATAAAATAGGAGGTACACAAAAAAAACACTTCTGGTACACACTGAAGTATGATAGTTATCTCAAGGAAAACACTTATCTGATGATGTGAGTTGTGGGCCAAACCAGTCACTGTTTACAGAGAATCCCATCTTTACTTGAAAGAACAACTGACAAATGATTATTATTCATACTTGGGTATTTGGCAGACATTTTCTCAAAAATGAAGTGAGAAGGCAGCTTACTGGAAAACAACTGATGGCATGTGCTGCCAATAACGGCCTTCACATTTCTAATTAAAAATTAAAATTGTGGAAACTCGTTTCCACAGTAAGCTTAACAACATCCCAATACTTAAAAGACTTTACTGATAAATCAGTGGTGATATTGGCCGGGCATGGTGGCTCACGCCTGTAATCCCAGCACTTTGGGAGGCCAAGGTGGGCAGATCACTTCAGGTCAGGAGTTCGAGACCAGCCTGGCCAACATGGAGAAACCATATCGCCACTAAAAATACAAAAAATTAGCCAGGTGTTGGGGGCATGCCTGTAATCCCAGCTACTCCAGAGGTTGAGGCGGGAAAATCGCTAGAACCCAGGAGGCAGAGGTTGCAGTGAGCCAAGATCGCACCACTGCACTCCCGCCTGGGCGACAGAGTGAGACTTCATCTCAAAAAAATAAATAAATAAACAACAACAAAAAATAAATCAGTGGTGATATTAACAAATGTGAATTCTTAAAATTCCATAATAAAATATATTAACATTTGGAGTATCTGTGTTACACAACGAAGCAGTACTCTCCAAATGACCAACACTTAATGCAACAAAGTGATGCATGGGTAAAGAGTCAAATCAAACTGCAAGTCAGATCAATGGATCTTACTGTTAAAGAATTCAAAAAGCTCACGAATAGAGATTTAGATTCCATATTAGAACTAACATTTAAGAAATGACCACTTGTCAAGTTTTGGTATAGTATCAAGGAAGGATATTCACAATTACCTAAAAAGACAACTAAAATACTCTTCCATTTCCCAATTACATCCACAAACTTTATAAGCAAGTATTGGATTATTTTTTCTGGATGTTAAAAACCATAAACAGAATCACAATAGTTATCATATTTTTTAATTCCTGATATCAGTCATGTAAAAACAAATGAACTAGCAATTATTTATTTAAAAGTTATATTCTTCGCAGTTACACAGTCTACATATTTGCAACAAATATATAAGTATCAAAGGTTTAATTTACCACAGAATGAAGACTGATCACTGCTCCAAAGAGGAAAGGAAATGAATGTGGTAAATTCTTAAATCTGTTTTGGAGACAGGCAAGTCAAGTCTCTCTTTTCTAGTTACAAATGAGCACATTCTAGGCCAGGCATGGTGGCTCACGCCTGTAATCACAGCACTTTGGGAGCCCAAGAAGGGCAGATCACTTGAGGTCAAGAGTTCAAGACCAGCCTGACCAACATGGTGAAACCCTGCCTCTACTAAAAATACAAAAATTAAGAGGGCGTGGGCACCTGTAATCCCAGCTACTCTGGAGGCTGAGGCAGGTGAATCACTTGGGCCCAGGAGGAGGCTGCAATGAGCCGGGATCACGCCACTGCACTCCAGCCTGAGAGACAGAGCAAGACTCTGTCTCAACAAAATAAAAAAATAAATAAATAAAGGAGCAGGTTCTGTTTAACATGTGACTCTTGAAACCTACATATTAATCACCCAGAAGACATGATATAAATGGATTTAAACGCTGGTTCTTAAATTTCTAAGGAAATGTCTTTTCACGGGAAAAACTGACCTCTCATAAATTTCAAAAGAAACAATTTAATCTGAACAAACACCTGAAGTTCAGAAGTAACACACCAAATGTTATTGTTTGCAGATGCATTTTTAGATAGGAATAAAAGTTGTTAAAGGAGAATTGTTCTTACACAACTCTATCCAATTAATAAATATCATAAATCATTAGTTTCAAAAGCATGAACCTTAAAAAAATCTCAGATTGAGAACTGGTAATGTCCTCACTAATAAACAAAGTCCTATTACTCTGTTTTCCGAAAGAGAAAGTTTATACACTAGTTTTTTTAGTGAGAATATTCAAGAGATAACAAGCAGAAGTTCATTCTGCCCCCACCCCTTCCTCATGATCCACCCATTTCTGCAGGCTTACCTTTGCAGTTCATTAAGCCCCCTGGCAGCTGGAAGGCTAGGGTTTTGCCTTAGGAAGTTTTGTTTTAAATTGAGATGAGTGAGGTCTTGGCTGTAGAAGAGGTTGGCAGGCAGATGTTCCAGGCTACAACATGAGAGGTCCACTGAGCTAATGCGCTGGGATGCAACCTAAAGAGGGATAAAACTTAATTTTAATACCATCCACTTATCCTATAACTACTTTCTATGGATAGAAATGAGATAATACCAATTTGGAACAGGTATTCTATGAAAGTAGCACTGTTAGTCCAAATATAAACCAACACAGTATTCAGTCACATGCCACATACCAACCTTTCAGTCAATAACATATCATATACAGCAGTCCCACAAGATTATAAAGCCGAAAAATTCCTATCACCTAGTGATATGGCAGCCATCATAATGTCACAGCACAACACACTGCCTTTTCTATGTTTAGATACACAAATACTTACCATTTTGTTACAACTGCCCACAGATTCGGTACAATAACATGCTACACAGGTTTGTAACCTAGGAGCAACAGCCTAAGTGTGTAGTTGGCTACACCATCTAGGTTTGTGTAAGTACACGCTGATGTTTGCACCATGAAGAAATTGCCTAACAACACATTTCTCAGGATATATTCCTGTCATTAAGTGATGTTTGTCTGTACTTAGTGTTCGAGCCAAATACTTTATAAAAGCATGAAAATGTCCCTGCCTGGAGGGTATGTACAGTAACCTAGCATAGGAGACAGGCTGGAAAGAACACAGATTACTCCACTGGGTTTATTGATATCAGTAAACTCCTCCAATGTAGGAGTTTTATTCCTGAAAACATAAGGAATAATTCTCTCCCACAGAAAGAGAATTCAGAGCTATCGAGTAAATACACGGTCAAGAGACAGATACTAAGATCTAAACTGAACATATGAAAGTCATTGTATATACTGATTTAAAAATAGCACAAATAAAGAAAAAGAGTATCATTGACCTTGTACACATCTTCAATTCATGGTATAGTAGAATCAGATTCTATTGCCTGTCTGCTACAAACTTTCCAGGCTGCCTCACTTCACAGTTTCAGTGAAATGCTTATAGATTCATTGTGCTTTGCTTCATGTAAGTATTTGATGTAAAACTTATTTTATGTCTAAGTATTTATCCAGATGTTCAATGCCTTCCTGGTTAAATGACTCCTCCCACGGCCAGGATCTCAGGGCTAAAGACCAACTTTCATGTGGGAAGCAGAAAACTCACTGACCACCCTGCATTTCTCAAATGTTCTTCCCAATATTGTAGGTAACACAGTGCCGATTTATGCTACAGCACGTGGCTTTAGCCCCACCTTCACACATCTTGGTTTTTTCTCTCCTCACAGAGGCAATGGGAATATAGTTCTAAAACTTTGGTTAATTCTCCCTATTTATCTTTACCGAAGCTTTAGGGCAGAAATTTCACTGCTTATCTGTGATCAATCTGGTGTCTTTTTCTTTTACCAAACCCCAGGTTTCTGTTCCTAATTACACAAGGCAGTAGAACATAGTCCTTAGATGTATGGTTCTGAGTTCAGTGTCCAGATTCACAGCCCAGCGCCACCACTCAGGAGCTGAGATAACTTGAATAGATCACTGATGTAAGATCCAGTTTTCTCATCTGTATACAGATATAAAGATGGTACCTACTTCTACATGCCTGGCACAGAAAAAGCACTCAGTAAATGTTAACTGCTATTACTATTGCTAGTACTACTACTAACACTACCATTTCCAAATCAAATCATTCATATTTTATTTTTCATTAAAAAAAATTTTTTTTTAAATAATAAAGTAGGGGCAAGGTCTTGCCATGTTGCCCAGGATAGTCTCAAACTACTGGGCTAGGTTGATCCTCTCACATCAGCCTCCCAAAGTGCTGGATTACAGGCATGAGCCACCATACACAGCTTCATTCACATTTTATATCCACTAAAATCCATACTCCCCTGCTGCTAAAAGTATCCAGAAGTAAATCTGGCATATGTTCTGCTAGGTTGGGCACGGTGGCTCACATCTGTAATCCTAGCACTTTGGGAGGCCGAGGCAGGTGGATCATTTGAGGTCAGAAGTTGGAGATCAGCCTGGCCAACGTGGTGAAACCCCGTTTCTACTAAAAATACAAAAATTAGCTGGGTGTGGTGGTGGGATGCCTGTAATCTCAGCTACTCGGGAGGCTGAGGCAGCAGAATCGCTTGAACCCAGAAGGTGGAGGTTGCAGTGAGCCGAGATCATGCCATCGCACTCCAGCCTGGGCGACAGAGAGAGACTCTGTCTCAAAAAAACAAACAGTTCTGCTGATGGAATATTTGAGGTTAGGAGAAATTACTGTGCACACATGAAAGCTAAAGGTATACTGGGGTGAGAAAAGTTGGGCAGGACTTATCTCTAAAGACTTTACCAAGAAAGTCTGAGTTTGCATTTTACCTATTTTATCTTTCTGTGAATTTTCACCATTAAATAAGAAAAAGAAAATGCCAAACAGGGCCAAACCACTCATACAAAGAAAGATGTAAAAAGAGATAGAATGTTAATGGGTCTGAAAGTAGGTGCAAAAGCACCACGCCACACAGGATTCCTATGGCATTCATAGGAAGTGGATGGGAACCTGTTTATAGAAAGTGAGGTTGAAAGCTCTGCTAGTTAGTGGAATCATTCATTCAAAAATATGTGTTGAACATCTACTTAATGGTGTATGGCAGGCCTTTTATTTCCTGAGATACAACAGGAAAACAAGACAGACACAGTCTCTGCCCTGAATGAGTACACATCAAGAGGACAGGGTAATTAAGATACTACATGATAACTGCTACAAGAATAGGAAGTGCAAGGACACAGAACAGAATCCCAGGGGTCAGAAAAGGATTCCCAGAGGATGTAATGTCCGAGCCCAAACTTGAAGCCTCAGTAGAAATCTGTATTTTTTGTCTGCCCCAAATCCTTTCTCTTTCAAACTCATGATCCTAAGGGGAACTGCAAACAAAGTACCCAGATGCTCTGGATTCGTGGGTAGGCATGCACTCCAGGTCTGAGCAATCGGAGTGTCCTATCTGCTGAAGCCACAGGCTGATCCAAGAGGTGCTAGCATGGGACCCAAGTTAGGTTAATCAAAGGACTTCTCTGGGATTTACATATTCTGAAACCAGGAGAGAAAGAGAATCAGCTGCTTAGAGCTGCAGTTAAAATGAAGGAGCTAGAACCATATGTATTAATCTGACTTGATACAAATGCAAACTGCAGCATGACACATTCCATTTATGAAAACAATTTTTAACATAACACACACACCTCCATATATTATATGGATGAATAATTATATGTGCAATATATACCATGAGATCATAAATTTCTATTGTTTTAAGCCACCGAGGGTCTGTTAACATGTTACAGCAGCCACAGGAAACTAATACAACCCTTCTTTATTTTTTCCATTGTACTTTTCATTTTATTCATTCAACATGTTTACTGAGTATCTACTAGAGGTGCCAATTACTGTTCTAGGTAAGCCCTTAATATACTTCAGAAAACAAAATGAAGATCCCTCCCCTATTAAGCTTTCTTTACAAATAAATAAATTATACGTTAAAAAAAATGGTAAGCACTACGAATGAAAAAAAAAAAACAGCTTGAGAAAGGGGGTCAAGATTGCTAGGAAGGTGGTGGATTGTAATTTAAATAGGTTAGTGAGGGTGGTCCCCAATGAAAAGATGACATTTAGCAAGGAAAAACAGGAAAAGGTGGCTGATAGGATTTATCTGGAAGAAGATGCTGCCAGGCAGAGGAAGTACCCAGAGTTAGAGCCCTTAGAAAAGCATGCCTTAGCCAGGTATGGTGGCTCACGCCTGTAATCCCAGCACTTTGGGAGGCTGGGGTGGGAGGACTGTCTGAGCCCAGAAGTTTAAGACCAGCTTGGGCAACAGAGTGAGACCATCATCTCTACTAAGAAAAAAAATTTTTAATTAGCTGGGCGTGGTGGTGCATGCTTATAGTCCCAGCCACTTGGGAGGCTGAGGTGGAAGGATCACTTAAGCCCAGAAGGTCGAGGTTGCAGTGAGCTTTGATCATACCACGGCACTCCAGCCTGGGCAATAAAGCCAGATCCAGTCTCAAATTTAAAAAATAATAATAATACAAAAAATTTGTAAAAGGAGCATACTTGGCATGTCCGAGAGACCTGAGAACACTGATTATAAGGCAACGAGGTCAGAAGGTAAATGGGCAGGGGATATGGGGCAAGCAGCAGACCCTGTGGGACCTTCAGGCCTTGTGAGGACTCTGGCTTTTAAGGTGAGTGAAATGGGATGTGTGGAAAGGTTCTGAGAAGTGTGAGGTGATCACCAATGTATGGTCAATGCTCCATATTCACTGGGGATTGGTTCCTGGACCCCAGCAGGTACCAAAATCCACAGATGCTCAAGTCCCTGACATAAAATGCCATAGTACACTCAGCCCTCCGTGTCGGCAGGTTTTGATCCACGGCTGGTTGACTCTGAAATGGGAAACTCGCAGGTAAGGAGGGCCTACTATACCAAGGAATTTTCTTATTTTTTCTCTGCCTTTGTCTCTAGATTGTAAGCTCCATAAAGGAAAGAATTTTTCTATTTTGCTCACTGACATAAACCCACGCTGAGTACTTGGGAGGACCCTCAAAACATCTTGCTGGAAGAATGGCCAGAAGACGACCTTATACCTCCTCCTTTCTCACCAGGCGGCCTCTGCATCTGGTGCATCCTTTCATGTGGCAACCACTTTGAAGAAGACAAATTCCATTTCAAATGAAGCATCCCACTAAATACTCCCTTTGGACAACTAAGAGAAAATGATTTAACATCAAGTTGTATTGGCTTCCTTTCCTCATTCTAGACCGTAAGCTGTTTCTGCTAGAAACAAGGAGGAGGAAACCACATTAAAGAGGCTACAAGCAAGGGCAGTCCTGCGTGAGCTATGCAGAACTAGGGACGTCTATCATGAGAGCATAAACTCATCATGTTAACATGGCCACGAGGCAGTGCGCTGCAAAGATGACCACGAAAGCTACCACTAGCTACACCACTGCCCAGTCCCATGAGCTACAACAGAATGGGAGATTTAAGTGCTTCTACTCAGCGCAACCTGGGCACATCAGGGCTCT